AAAACTTCAGCAATAACTTGATTTTCAATTTCGTCGGCATTAATAGAAGCGTGGGATGAAGTCGTAGCTTCATACTTTAAGCTTTTATAGCTCAAATTTTCCAGATAATCAGTGAAGAATATATAACAAATTCAAAAATTATTTAAAATAAAAAGGTTATACTATAAATATAACATAATGGAAATTTTATGTCTAGTAAATATACCATAATTTCTGCAACTTTAGGAGCCATAGGAGAGCCATCTGTTTTTGTATGTGTCATTTCAAAGAGCTTTATTCGTCTAATTCTATTGTCAGATGTGATTTCCTTTTTTTTATCTAGCCTTAAACATGCTTTTAAATAAAAAAGGGTAAATTACCTAATCAATCCAGAAACATTTTTAAAAAAATTAAACAGTAATACACATGACCAAAATGTAAAAACACGATAAACATTGAGGGACTAAAAAGCAAATAACCCTAAATATATATAACATGCATAAAAATGGGTAAATAGCAAATTCGATCCCTACATATGACCATTTTGTAAAAACGCGTGAGAGTTAAAGGATCCTAAGCACGATTTTCCCCTAAAGTTACCTATAAATACCACTTTATCCTTTTTTTTCATTTCAGACGAAAAACCAAAAAATTTATAAAATATCCTCCCCCATCTTTCTTCTTCCCTCGGCCAGCCCACTATCGCCCACCATACAACTACAGTTCGGTCGCTGTTTCGACCGCAACACACGGTGGTCGAAAATCCCAAGCGACCCAAAATCTCATATATTTCCATATTTACCCACCTAAGCTTAGATCTAGGGCTAAAACCACCTAAAAAACTCCATAAAGACCCCCCAAAGAGCCTTGACCCTTCATATCTCGCATACTCCAACCGCCGTGAAGACGAACCGTCCCCCAGTTTGACTCCCCACTCTAAGGTAACTAACGATCTAACCCTTCCTCATCTGGTTTTTGCTTCATGCAAGGCTGGTGTTTTATTATAATATGTTTTTTGTTTTTGAAACCAAAAGTAAATATAAAAAGAACTACCTTGAACGTTTTCTGATTTTTTTTGCTTATATTGCTCTCTGGAAAACCGAGAGGAACACCCCTTTTTACAACAGTGTTATCGGGTTTTATAACCCTTGTTGATTTACAGCTTTTTTTCAAAAACAAAATAACATGATTACACTGTTTGGGAGCGGATTTGAGTAACTAGCTGACTTGGGCAAACTGACATGGCAGGGGACTGGTGCGTGGTTCGTGGAAATGGCGGTGGCTCGGGATTGGTGTAGCACAGCGGTGGATGGGGATTGGTGCAGCACAGCGATAACAGATGATTAGTAGAGATGGAGGTGGCATGCTCTCCATCTGGTGGCGGCGGCGGGTGGCTAACCCTAAGATTAAGGTTAGCCAAAGTTTGTAATAGTGTAGGCGTTTAGGGTTTGGTAATTAGGCCCAAGTATGATTGTAATTTTGGGGCCCAATTTCCTTTGTAATTGGGGGTTGGATTAATTTCGAGCGTGCAGAAAATAAAATTAAAATAAATATAAATATAAATATAAATAATCATAAAATAATAATAATAATAATAATAACAGGATGAAAACGGGTGTCGACAAGAGGTTTTCAGTTGATCAATCGAGTCCAATAGAAAAAAAAGAATATTTATTAAATAATTAAATTAGATTATTATTATTAAAATCATTACATAAATTTAACATATGAGTTATACTAATATAAAACAATAAAGTTGATAAGAATTCTATAACACAAAATTTATTTTGGTTTATAATAAAAATATAAATTAATGCATATTAGACATTGATTTAATTTTAAAAATACACAAAAATATTGCTATAAGTAATAGCACACAAATGTGTCATTAACATTAAAAATATATTTAGTGGTAACTGAGATTCTCAAACTTTTGAGAAAAATAATTAGTGTAGTCCCTAAACTTTTTTTTGCACCAACTATAATCGTTAAACTTAGAAAAAAATTAATCTAACCCTTTGAAAAATAAAATCAAATGGTTACTGTCACAACGCTTACATGACAGTTCACAAACTTGACAATATATAATAATTATGTGACAGTTCACGATTCTATTGTGACAATACTCGATGGACGATGATGTGGTAGATGAACTTAATTGATTACTTTATAAAGTTTGAGGATTTATTAATTTTTTAAAAAATAAAAATTTATTTAAATTGAAAATATAAAATATAAACAATTATTAAGATATTCAATAAATTAAATATAAAATAATACAAAATTAAATTATTAAAATAAATTAATTTAAGGATCACGTTGAGTGTAAAAAAAGTTTATGGACCATATTGACTTTTTTACAAAAGTTTGAGGGTTTCAGATACCATTAATTCATAAAATTATTGTTAGAATGATTTAAATATGTGTAAGTTAGGTTAAAAATTTAGATATAATGTTTCCTTATTTATTTTTTGAATTTTCAAAATAATTTTAATGAAAATAGTGAAAACATCTTTTTTACTTTTTCATATTTTCACTTATTTTTGTTTTTATTTTCCATAAATCATTTTTCAATTTTACAACTAAACATGTTTTCTTCAATATTTTCTATTTTCTATGAAAATAAAAATAACCTATATTTTCTAAAACCAACGAACGCTAATTGTCTCAAAAGTTTTGAACTCTAAAAATTTCTTAAAACTCTGAATATCAAAGGTTCGTTTGGTAATACTTTTGGAAAAAACTTTTAGCTAGAAAGATCGTTTTGACTGTAAAATCAATGTCAAATGGATAAAAAATTTAAAAAAATTACGGTGAAAACATTGGTTTCAAACCAACTGCAAAAGCTATAATTTATAGCTTTTCATTTTTCAACTTTACGTTTGGAAGCAGATTATAATTTTACCCTTACTAATGCATGTGTTCCTCTCAATTATGTATTTACATTTTATTGTAATAATTTAATATTATACTAAAAAATAATTTATTAATTTTAATAATTTATTTTGATTATTTAAAAATAAATAATTCATGATTTATATTAGAATATTAATAGTGAGTTATATAAATACGTTTTTATTATGATTAGATTTTTATTTGTATTTTTATATTTTATTATATTTTAAGTGATATAAGTCATATATAATAATATTTTTGAATTTATTATAATTTAAAATTGATATGTTTCGTATATAAGTTTAAATAATATTTAAATAATATATTTTTAATTTGCAAACTAATATTTATAATAAACATTTTATATTTTCAAATTCAATTTCTATAACATTTTTAAAAATCAATTTTTTAAAGCTATATCAAACTTACCCTAAGAAACCGTAACCATCTAACAAAATATCGTGTTCTAGGGGTTTCTTGAAACCTCCTAGGCCTTAATCGTTAGAGTTCTAGCAAAAATGGAAGCACGATTTGAGGGGAAGATATGAGGGATATAATAAAATAAAAGTATTTTTAAATATATTTATATTTTAAAACTAATTTTTAAATAATATAAGATGATTATAAAAAAATATTTATTCATGATATTTTTTAATTATTGATAACCGATACGTTTTTTTATAAATACATCTATTTGAAGTCAAAATATTAAGAGAAGATAACACTCATTTTAATTATTATGATCAGGATTTATAAGTTCAAAATTAAAAAGGTTAAACATCTCCAATAATTGTTTTTATTATAATATTTTTATAATATACTTTGATGATTTAGGAACACTATTATTTTTATATATTTAATATTTTTGTAGAATATATACTATAATTTGTTAGCCTAAATAATTAGGATTTAAGAATTTGAGTTTGTAGGTCCAAATTTATTGATTATAACATTCAAAACGGAAATAGCAATCATAATTGGCCACTGCCAGCCCAGCATAGATACACATCAATAGAGAGTGCATTTTTTACAAGAAAGAGAAAGACTAAAAGGGACATGTAAAATAAAATAGACTTTTTCAGAAAACTTATTAGGATGAAAATATTTTTATCCAGCCTAATTGGTTTCTCTTTTATGGTGGGACCACACTAGAAACACGTGTCGCATGTAAAAGACTTGGATAATTTCTAATTTCTCTTTCGTCGAAAGCCAAGGTTTCATCCAATGGCTATTCCGTTTTCTTCTTAAATCTTGGAGACAATATAGTAAAAAATGGTCACAACTTTACTTTCCTAAGTCTGGTGAAAACATGGGATTGCACATCGGCGTATTAAAAGTGGCATGCCTTGAAAATTTATGTTGACGTCAATATTCTGATAAAGGAATGATTGTGACAGATAAAACTCAAATTTGTATGCTTCAAGATCATAAAAAATTGATTAAACGAAGATATGTTGCCCACTACTAGATCCTTTCCCTATATGACCAACAACACTATTAAACCTTTTCGCCACGCACATGATCGAATGCTTAAAGGTTATTGTGTTATTACAGTTTCATTCTAAGATAATACCGATTCGCTCCGAGATGCATTTGCTTCACTCTAAAATGTGTATATTCAACTCTTAAATGATTCACGACCATTATATTTATTTTCATAGTTGCAACATTCCTCATGTTCTTCGATCATTGTCAAATACGATCTTTCATCGAGAAGATAACGGATCATGTACTCTGAATTTTCTTAATCATAATCATCATTTTCAATGAAAGTGTAATACGGAAACAATGAAACTTTGTTGTTTCATATATTAATATAGTCGGCATGCATGACTTCTTAATTATCAATGAACTTGTTTTGTCCATCTATATTGTGATGATTACGTAGAATTTGTGTAGTAGGATGATAGAAGCCAAATTGTTTCAGTACCTTATCTTTAAACTGAAATTCGATAATACAAAAGTGAATCATCGATTTAATAATACATGGAATTTTTCAGAAAACTTATTAGAATAAAAATATTTTATCCAGCCTAATTGGTTTCTCTTTTATGGTGGGACCACACTCGAAACACGTGTCGCGATCTAAAAGACTTGATAATTTCCAATTTCTCTTTCGTCGAAAGCCAAGGTTTCATCCAATGACGACTTCTTAAATCTTGTCGAGCTTATCTGCTTTGACTACGGGGTTAGCGCGTGCAATCTCCACTCTGCCGACTGTTTTGAAATCGAACGTGCACCCGTGATTCTCTGGATACCTGTGCGATCCGCAAAACGTAGTCCCGCATTTGCACTTGAACCCGGTCAACCCGACTCGTTTCCTGCAAACCATGCACCGATTTGGTTGTTGTTGCTGCGGCAGCTGCTCAGCTTCCGGGGCAATCTCGACAGCCGGAGCAGGCGATTCTCCGATGACTTCAGGGAGAGTGAATAGCGGAGCCTGAGAAACGGATTCGACAACCGCTGACGAAGATGAAGGGGAGGAGGAAGAAAGAGATGATTTGATGGAAGAAGCTCCTTGTTGTTCTTTGAGACGAAAATCTCTATAACATTTAGAGCACAGATTCATCGTCGCCGGACTTCCGAAAAAGCCGCAGTTGTTGACGCAAAGACGGTGGCCTTCCGGCGTTTGGCATCTATGCTCCTCCGCCATCTTTTTTAAAATCTCTCGATCTTTTAAATTTCTTGTGAAGTTTAATATACTTGAGATGGGATCTGCAAGATCTAAAACGGAAATTATCAAAAAAGAGAAATCAAACTTTTGGAACATCAAAACACAAAATTAAAAATTAAAGAAAGAAAGAGAAATACCTCGAAAGGGAAAGCTGGGAAGGAAGAATGATCAGAGAGAGCGTGCAGAGGGAAGGAAAGAATGATCAGAGAGAAAGCGTGCAGAGGGAAGGAAGAAACAACGACGAAAATGGAACAGAAGAAAAGTAGTTATTTTATAGATCAGGAATTTGATTTTGAAATTGATATCTGTTTTTATTTTAATTTATATAATAAACCAAATAATAATAATCAATATATTTTTTTAATTGAAAGGCCAAAATGGAAGCCACCGACCCCGCCTTTGGTTATCCTAATTGCCTGCAAATAAAAAATTGGCCACCGAAATTCATGCACGCAGCAAAGAAGAGAGAGGCAATTGAAACTACTCGCGCGCCCCACTTCTCCTAACCGAATCATTTAACACGTGGTAGTTAATATTTATGAATGAAAAATAAAAAGCTTAATTCAACAATAAATCCTTAAACTATATATTTTCTGAATTAGATATCTATATTTTTTGTTGAATCATATATCCAACCTATTATTCATAACTTTTTTCGTGTTATGTCATTATTTTAATTGTTTAAAATGATGTAATAAATAAAAAATATCATATTTTTATAATAAAGTATCACGCAATATATATATATATATATATATATATATATTTTGAAAAGGGTGTACTTTGTATTAAGTGTTGAAATATACAAGGTATATCACTACCAAAGGCCTCGTTAAAAAATCTCCCTAAGTTTATTTGGAGGAAAAAAATGCGCTTTAAAGTAAACAAGGTCGAAAACACGAATCGTTAACGATAACAGAATCTTACAACCTACCATGGAAAAAAATAACAAATGTACAATACAACAAAGACAACCCCTACTACAGCAACAGCCGGACACCACTGCAGCTTCCACTCAACCAGATTGGCCAAAAATGAGCCTCAGAACACCATCACGCAATATATATATTTTAAAATATTATCAAGTTATATCATCAGTCTAAATTCTAAAATCAATATTATGTTTTTTTATAAACATCTGAATTTACTCATTTTGATCCTTTTTACTATACGTGAACGTTACAATTAATTAATTTAACTGAATACGATATCAATTTTTTAAATAATTTTAAAATTTAAATATTAATGTTATAAATAAAATAAATTAAGAGAATCATTTTCATAATAAAATTTTATAGCATTTAAAATTATATTATAAATATAAACAGAAATTTAGTTTGTTAATGTTCGTTTGTTAAAATGATAAACGAACACAAACCAATAAACATAAAATTAATTGAGTTTATGTTCGAGAAAAGTTTTCTTTCCAAACAATTTTAGGATTTATATTTTCTTTAATTGATTTGAGTATTTTTTTTGTTTGGATTTAAAATTAATTGAGTTTAAAAATATTAATGAATTTAAGGTTAAAGTTTATTAAGTTTTAATATTTCAAATAGGTATGGAGAACATAAACAAACAAACACAAACAAATGAATATAAACAATAACATTCACAAACATAAATGACGAATAATTTTTTTTCATGTTCGTTTATTTAATTAAATAAATAAAAAATATTATTTATATTCACTTATTTAATAAATAAAAAATTTAAGCAAACTTCTCGCCAAATAATTTACGAATGATTCGTGAATATTCAATTTGTTTACTTGCCTAATATTTTTGGCCGGATAGAGTGGCGACAGACGCGACATTAGGAGCGTGTGGAAGAAGGTGGTGCGGTTGGGGTGCATGATTTAAGGCATGGTTGAGCGGCTAATGATTGAGCGTAGTCTTGAATAAAGTTTAGAGCTTTGATGTGTCAGAGCCGACCTGGGTTTTAGGACCACCAAATTGGCATCATATCAATAGAAAAATATCACAAAAAAAGTATTTAATAATTTATATGATTTTGTAAATTCTGTCCGATTATCCACGTAAGCTTGCATCGGTTGATACTTTTTTAGGGCAGGGCCAAAAGATTTCGAAGTTGTATTAAACATTTTTTATTCGTGAAAATAAACTGAAATTGATCATTTATGTTATCACCATAAGTTTTAAATATATAATTTGGCTTTAGAATGTCAAAAGTAAGGTATAAATTGAAAAGAAACTAAAACTACATTTTATAGCTTTAAACAATCTAAAAGTATGTATATATATATATATATATATATATATATATATATATATATATATATATATATATATATAAAGGGCTTCACTACATGATTAATTATTTCGGTTTATGTTTTGTCTATTTTTTTCATTGATTTCAAAAAACATAATATATAGTCACTTTCATTTACTTAATTAAAACGTGGTCACCACGAGTTAACTGTCGATAAATATTTTTGTATAATCATATATTTGGTGTCTACTATTTACACATTCTCTTAATTTAGTCATACTTTTAATAAATCAAAATAAATTTCTTCATTCAATCAAATGATATCATGTATCACAAGTACCACGTGACGTGTCACATGTTACCATTCGGTTGGAGGACCAATTTTATTTAATTTACTTTAGTTTAATATATTTATTTTCCATCAAAAAGAGGTAACACATGTCACTTTCCGGTTAAAAAAAATGAAACAAAGTAAATTGGAGACAAAGGCATTCAAACCTAGGTCACTTGGGAAATTAAGCATGTACTCAACTATTGAGCCAAAACAAATACTTAGTATACAATAGAAAACATGATGTATATATTTTGTATCTTAGTGTATAAATACCATAGTTATCAAAACCGAACCAGATCGAGCGGTTCAACCGGTTGAACCAGTGGCCTGTCCGGTCCGGTTAACTTCCAAAACCAATTTTGCAATGAACCGGTTGAAAACCGGTAAAATCGCTGTGAATCGGTTGAAAACCGGTGTAAACCGCCGGTTCTGTTTTTTTTTCTTTTTTTAAAAAAAAATTAAACCAAACGACGTCATTTGTTAAACAAGCCGAGTCGAACTCGAGTATTGTTGAGCTCAACTCGAACTCGAAAACTTTAAAAGTTAGCTCAACTCGACTCAAAAACTCACGAGCTAAAAATTATCAAGCTCAACTCGAACTCGAAATATAATATTGAAACTTGAACTAGAAAGGCTCGAACTCAAAAAAAAATTTAGAAGCTCGATTGAAGCCTGAAATTCAAGCTCAATTGAAGCGAAAGAATAGTTCGCTCTGTGCTCACCAAAAGGCTCCATGATTTTGAATGTCAAATTACCTCTATTATTTATAGAAGTCAGTTAGGATGCTCTTCTATGTTTCTTAGCCATGTGAGATTGTTTTGTTCTCATATATTTTACTGTTTAGACTTTTGGGATGCTCTTCTATGTTTCTTAGCCATGTGGGATTGTTTTTTTTAAATTAAACCAAACGATATCATTTGTTATGATTTTTTTAGCCCCAAATTTATTTTTTGATTATAGTTATATAATTATATTTATTATTTAATATGTTTTACCTTAAATATTATGTTGTAGTTGATTTGAATCATTTTGTTTCACTTGATTTTATGGGTTTTAAATTATATATGTTACGACTTGTGATATTTTTATACCTTTTTAATATTGTAAATTTAAAAAAAGTGTTACATATATATTAATATTGCTTTGAATATTATGTAAAATTTTCAAAAAAAATATTATTTTATATAAAATCCGATTCAAAGCGATTGAACCACGGTTGAACCAGTGAACCAGTACCTTCAACGGTCCAAGGTCCGGTCCGGTTTTAAAAACATTAATAAATACTTAACTTAAATTCATAATATTTTTTATATATTAACTTTAAAAAATATTTTTTTGTCATCTCGATTCTTAAGGTTTCGTCTTGATTAATCCGGATCACACATCTAGTTTTGGTGTGAGTCTCCAAACGGAGATTTTCTACATACACAAGGACTCAAACTCAAGACATACTTAATAGATATCAAGTTGCTTACCACGTGAACCAACCCCGTTGGTAAAATTAGTATTTTTTTATATCAACTTATTAAATACAATTTAGCATTAACTTAATTTAAAAATATTTTATTTTTATTTTAATTTAAAAATATATTTTATGTTAAAATATTTTAAGGTTAAGATTAGAATAAAAATATTTAATAATTTAAATTAATAATATAATATTTTTAGTAAATTAAGATAAAACATGTACCTTGAAAAGTTAAAATAAAAATAAAATATAGTTTTAATAGACCCAAGTTCAAATCTCTTCGGTCCTCCAATCGAATGGTGAGATGTGGCACTAGTGACACATGACATCATTCGATTGGAGGATTAAATTTATTTAAAATAAGACTAAATTGAGAGGATATGGCAATAACATGGACCAAAATTTTGATTATGTTAAAATACCACATTACCTAACCTGTTAATCGTTAACGACAGTTAACCCGTAGTGACAATATCGTAATTAAATAAAAATGAAAGTTATCACTTTTTAATTAAATAAAAATGAAATTACCCTAAAAATTATAATCGTAATGGCCTCTTGAATTATAATCAAGTGAAACGAATTTTAATGTTTATTATCAAGGATTCATCCATCTCTTGTTTGAAATAGCCTTATCAAGAGTGGAAAATAAATATTCAAAATAATAAATATTGAGCTGAATGATGATGTTGGGCCGTCTCCATTTACAAAATAAAAATTGATCATTCTTACAGATTTAAGGTGCTATGACACATTTTCTCACCCAAATTAGGCCTACAGCCCAAGCCCTAATCACAAAATTAAGTGAGCACCATGAAATATTCGTTTAACTTGACCACAAAGACATGGTTTTTTTTGCGACTTTATGAATTTAATTTCAAATTTATGAGCAGATAACTAAATTTATCGAATTAAATGGCGATATGTGTCATTATTAGATTAAATAGCTAAATTTATCGAATTAAATTAAAATTAATATCAAATTAATAAAATATGTAAATATCGAGCACTAAACATATAATCGTACCATTTTATACCATTTCTTATCAGCCACATCAGCTTTT